AGTTACACACCCCCTGCCACAACAAGCCATGCTCAGCCCCCTCCAGCAGAAAGGGAGCCGCCCCCGCCAGTCAGATACACAGAAACTGAGAGGAATGTGGTCAGTGTCTTTATCTGTTACATGACTACGTCAGGATGCGCATCAAGCAGGCCATCTACCAAAGTGGGGGGGGGGGGGGGGGACATGGTGGAATAGTGTTGTAAAGATGCGTCTCCCCATCTCTCTCTTCCTGTGATGTTCTGAAGGACATCCTCAACCATTTGCTGGGTGACCTGGAGATCTTCATGGGTCGGCTGACAGCAGTTCTTCCAAAGGTCACGAAAAACAACATGAAGAATATGATGAAGAAGAAGAAGAAGAAAGGCAAAGGTGATTCTTAAATATTCTCAGATTTATTCGCATAACAATACCTGACATGGCCCATCCATCCATCCATCCATCCATCTTCTAGCTGCTTGGTGGTCAGGGTTGAGGGGGCCTGGAGCCTGTCCCTGGTGACACAGCATCCGAAGCTGGGGTCCATCCTTAACCTGTTTACATTTACAGAAATCTCTGTTAATTTGCCATGTGACTAAAACCTTTGAAGAAGAAGAGGAACAATGAGCTCTTATAATAAACCACTTTAAATCCAGGCCTGCAGTTCGCTAAAGCGTTTTATTTTCAAGTTTCTATGAAACAGAGACGTGTGAAAAGTTGTTTGTTGTGTATGTGTTTTTCTGTCTTGTCTTGGACGTCCTGTAACTTTTGGGTTGTTGTGTTTCATTCATAATTAGCAGTCAAAGGATTACCTCCACAGGAAGAATATGAATCCTGTCTACATAAGGTCAAATTTGGATTCAACCTCTTAGTAAGTTGGTTCTTTATTTGACAACTTATGATGGCTCTAAACTGAGTCACTGCTAGAGCTGTAGTTCTCAAAGTCTTTGTGCTGTGATCTAATTTTTCTCATGCCAGCTCAGTCCCAACCCTATATTAAGTATAGTTTTAAATTAACGCTAAGATCAAGCACGCGGTGCACTCTGAAGTTTACACCAATCTATGCCTGGTCATTCCAACCTAAAATTAGCATGAGGCTTAACTGTTAGTATCCTTCCCCAATAC